TGGTTTCTGCAGTGGGACATTTGCCCCTCCATTCACAAATGGATGCACAGGCATTGTAACACAACAGTGATATCAATTAGCAGGTTGGCCAGGGCCTTAGAGAATTCAACTAGACCTCAGAGTAACCTGCTAATAAGGTCAGAAACTAGTGATACAGATATAGCATTGATACTTTATTATATTAACAATAATGTCACAACCACATAAAGCCCTCAGCTCCTTAATTTTGTAAGGCTAATCTCATGAGTGGTTTTCATTTTAATGAATCTCTTCATTACTATTAACTAACATTTGTTTGGAGGGAAGTATTTGACTGACTTTAAAATATTCTTCTGAGATACTGATTTTCATAGGAAAATCCACTAAGTCAGACATACTAGCATTGTATACATTACATAAATACATACTCTCACACATCTGTTTTCTATATGTTCCATGACAGCATATTTCAAAATATACTGCAACATTTTATTGCCTAAATATGCATGTCTAGTACAGACGTGGTTAATTATCACCCCCCCTCCCACTAGTTTCTTAGCAATAAAGCCATGGGAACCTGCTCTGTCTTATAGATGATGCCATATCACATATTTTTTCTGAGCCTCAATTTTGCTATAGTTAAGGAATCTGCTAATAAAATGTACTTAGAAACTGGTTATTCAACTGAAACTCGAGGAGGCTGGTTTGGCACAAACATAAGTTATATATCGATCTATAATTATTTCTTTGATCTAAAGACGTGGTGGAAACTGCCACTAGCATGAACAATATGCATTAAAACACTTATTTTATTATAAATCATTTTTTTAAAGATTTTAAAATATGCCAGAGGAATAAATCCTCTGTTTTGACATCTTTAAAGATAAATACAACACTGATAATTGATAATAGTTTTAAAACGCGAATTCCTTGAGAAACCTAGCATGAAACATATCTTGAATTTTTTTCTAAACATACTGTACAATTTCCATACACTATTTCAAAGTTTAAAATTATGGGAGAGGAGACAATTAAAGACAGAAAAATAGTGGTATCATTTACTTTATTTAAAAAAATCATCCTCAAAATGAATGTAATTATTCTTAGAATAAGAACATAAGCTCCTCCTTTTTCCCAAGAAAGGAAAAAGTTAACGAAGCTTTGAAACCAGAGGTCTGAATACAGATAATTGTGTATTACAACATGTCCTCCTTGGCTAGATTTCTCTACTACATAGCATTTTCTAGTGATGGAAGTGGTGGTGGTGGAGGGGAGAAGGTGAGAAGAAACCATGCAATTTAATAAAATAGAAGCATTTTCTCAGCCTAAGTTGCAGCCCTGCTTTGATTTTGGGGTTATCTCAGGGTCAATACATGTATACTCTAGTGCATGAAACAAAACTTGAGCTATCCTCAGAATGTAGTCTTTGTTTCTCCTTTCTTCAAAGCCCGAGTTTCCTAATTTCATTGTTAGGAAAAGCAAAAAGAAATGTTTGTTCTATTACGTAAGAAATAAACTTCATTTGGTATTCAATTGACTTTCTAACTTAGCAGACAGGACTTTACATCTTCAAATACTGAAAATAAATTGCATTCTTGGCCCTTGCTTTAAAAGGTTATAAAGAATAAACGCACACCCTGGTAGTGTTCTAGTGATCTCCCTAATCTCAGTTGCACTTTGTCAGAACGAGGTAACTGGTAGTTAAGTGAAATACCCTAGATCAAAGGGGGATTAATCACCAACTGAATCCTTGCTGAATAAACCTGTCATTCAAGAAAATTATTTCCACTGAACTTAGCAGAGGATTGAAGGTATTTGCATAACAGGGACCAACGTACTTCAGCCAGGTTAAAAGGTTCAGAATTCATCCCATGTTTAGCTTTTTGCCTCCTTTTCCTTTCGGCAGCCTGATACAATGGTTTCTAATCTGATAATACAGCTAACTATCTAAATGATGTCAGAACAGGAAAGTATTGCAAAGTTTGGATGAGGGATGGATCAATTTCACTTTCAGTAACTACTAAATCTGATTTGTTGGAATTTAAGATGTAATCCTAAAAAAGTCCCTTAAACCTGAGGACTGTTTATTAACATCCCTTTTTTGACCCCTGTCTAGGAACAACCATCTAGCTGTGGGGCAGCAGTCCCCGAAGAGGTTCTGGATGATAATTCCACCCACCCAGCTCCTAGGGGTAGTGTAGGAGTCTGAATCTATGAATGTCTGTCAAGTTTTTGAAATATTGTAACAAAAATTAGAAGAAAAATATTAACAGTTCTTGCTATGTATAAAATATCTTAAACCTTAAATCATGCATTGTATATATAAAATCATAGTAATTTTAACATAGAGAAGAAATACTGAGTTGTATGAAAACTTAATTATTTTATAGGACAGACTACTGTTTATTAAAAACATTTTTTATAACTCTCATACAAATTTACTAAGTTCCTGCTTGCTTCAAACTTGACATTTGAATCAATTATTTAAAGTGTAAAAAATGCTACTACTGTAAGGGTATATTGCCTAACTACTATCTATATTGCTGACTTTTAAAAACTTAGAAAAATACTGTTTAGTAAAAAATGGAGAAAAGAAGGGTTTTACCAAAATCATGAACCATCTTTTCTTGAGTTCATTCTCAGAAATTTAAACACCTTTTTTTAACCTTTGGGTCTACTGAAGAATAATTACCCATATCATAGACATCAGATTTCATAATCATATTTTAGCACTAAAAAGGAATTTAGTAATTTTGCATCTAGAATAGTCTGACACCACCCAAATCTTTCACTGGAAGTAGTTGCTCATATTCACTGAAAAGGAAAAGCATCTTTCAAGTTAAAAAATGCAAAGAATAGTTATCAAAGAAAATGAATAAAATCCATAGTGAGATAATTTTTTAGAAAATGATTGAAGTTTTAACCCAAGAAAGGACTCTTAGAGTGTCTTATAGCTTAGAATAAGAACATGTCAATCATGATTAAGCTTCTGCAATCGGAATCCCTTTGAAATGCAGCTGTTTCTTCTTTAATTGTGGCAGCGGACTCTGAAGAAAAGAGAGGTCCAGCCTTAAAGATGAGTAAGGAATACAAAATAGCTCAGGATTAGTTGTGGAGTTCAAAGGTCACTAATTACACTAAGGAGTTCCCAGACACAGGGAAAACATTAAACAGGTCACCTACCAAATGGGAAACAGACTTTGTCTTCAGAAATTATACTGAAGTGACAGGTTTCTAGACAAAATCAAAAGTATCACAGTGTGCCCAGCTGACTCAATGGGATAAAACCTGAGTTGTTTTAGTTCTGTGGCGTTATGTCAGAATGAAATGGCAACAGATAGCATCAGGTTCCCTATCATCTCATCACTTTTCCAGGATGCCCAAGATTTTCCTCAGGCTTCTCGAAATGTCAAATCAGAATCACTACTTTTTCTGTTTATAAAGAAAGTTTTCCTAGTGGATTATTGTATCACATCTCTGCCTACTTAACTAAATTAATGCCTCTGGTTTACGTTTGTGTATCTTGTAAACATTTGTACAAAGCTTTCCAAACGGCTCCATTAACATTAATATAACATATTAAGTGAAACATTAAGCTTTGTGTTTAAAAGAGATCAAATAACTTATGGGGAATGATATTTTCTTCTTTTGAAAGGAAAGTTTTTACTACTGATTATCTATGTGGAGTGGGAATAACAAGTTAAAGTCCTGGTCAGACAGTTATTCTCTTTTCTTTGTTAGTTGGAATAATTTTGAACATAGAACTTACGCTATGATAATGCTTTGCAGAAAATGAGAGTTTATAATGAGTAGGATTGATTTTAATTAAAAAAATCATATTTTAAATCCTGAATTTATGTGCACTAGCCCTTCAAACTATCATTGCTCTCTTTTATGGAGTTAGCAGCTTTTTCCGGGGCTTTTCCTTAGGAGACTCATTAAAAAACAGAACTTAAGAAATAACTGAATTGAATATTAATCTATAGTACATATTTTTCATAACACTTCGGAATTCTGTTCTATGAAAAGAACTTTGACATGAATTAAAGTTCGAGGATCTTGAGATTTCATCTTTTCTTATGTGTCCACTTAAAAGTCCACCTTGACAATGAATTGCTCTAAAAACAGACTGTGACATGTAATTGTAGAAATAGAGAATGGAGTATGACTAGACAGTTTTTGAAGAAATCAATAGAATGGTAATGAGAAAGTGAGAGTGATAAATTTAGAGATACATGCTACATGAAACCAAAATAAGATTAAATGATACTCTTTACACATAGAGTGGCTTTTGAATTTTTACCTGAATTCATTAATAGATTTTAATTCAATAGAACAAAAAAGCAATAGGCCTAAATTATCTGTAAAAATTTGGCTGGAGGCATTAAATGATCACAAAACACTACGTTCATCTTTTGAAGGTATCTCATCCATCTTAATATGCTGACTGACATTTTACGTAAAATGTTATTATAGTATATTAACAAGGTTATTTAGAAAACAGCTCTAGAACAGAGATAAACAGCTTGAAAATAATTATGCAGATTCTTCCTTAGTAAACAGAATAGTGCTAAGACCAATACTATTTAAACAATTTTCCTTTGTCTTCACTGCTGTTTAAGAAATTTATAGTTATTTCTAACATTGTATTCTTTAACAAGACGATGTACTAGGCAGGAGTACTAGTACTTAGTGCTTAGTACTTAGGTTTAGAAGAACAAACAATTCTTACTTGCATGTCATCTACAATCCATTAAGAGTGGCTGCCTGAATCTCTGCACTGAGAAGGAGTCTGACCACTTATCCAGGAAGGTCAGTATAGAAAAACAGCTGTGACTGATTAGTAATGTTTGCTATAGTGGCACAGTGACCCAGGACTAGTTTAAAATAAATCAAAGTGAATCAGTATTTTTCTGTTCTGAATTACATTGGCATAAAATCAGAGTAAAAAAATTGGAGACTTTAGCCTTTAAAATGTTTTTTCAAACTATCTTAGATTGTAAACATTTATTCTTTTCATAATTAAATCATTCAATGATTTTTCACTTGTAGGTTATAAATAAGCATCCATACTTTTAAAAATATAAAACTGTGATTTCATTTAAGCTATTACATAAATCTCATTTAAACATGAGAAAATTATAGTAATGATCATCCATATATTATTGGAGCAGAGGCTTTAGAATTCCAGATATAATAATCAGAAGAAATTAGTTTCCGGTCTAAAAAAAAGAAAAAGAAAAAGATGTTAATAAGATTCTTTCACTTTAGCAAAAATTCAATGAGAGTGCAAAATCATGCTTTTCAAAAACTGTGGAATGTAATCATTTCAAGGCAATGCTTTAAAATATTCATTCACTTTATCATAACTTTTACCACTTTACCAATACGGGCTCACAAAATATCTGAACACTTTAACTTTGAGCTTGTATGAAATATCCCTCATTTATGCCAAATCTGACAATTTTATCCTCACATTTTCTCTAAATTCTGTTTCTTGTGGGCCATTACTTTAACTACAAAAACATTAACAATTTTTTTTTTTGAAGAGACAGAGTCTCACTTTGTCACCCTTGGTAGAGTACCATACCGTCACTGCTCACAGCAACCTCCAGCTCTTGGGCTTAAGTGATTCTCTTGCCTCAGCCTCTCGAGTAGCTAGGACTACAGGCGCCTGCCACAACACCTGGCTATTTTTTTGTTGCAGTTTGGCAGGGGCCGGGTTTGAACCCACCACCCTCAGTATATGGGGCCAGTGCCCTACCCACTGAGCACAGGGGCCGCTCAACAATTTTTTTATTGGTTTCCCTTCTGTAACCTTTTCAGCAGAGTCCTGGTTCTAGTCTTGGTATACTTTACTCATTCAAAGTGTCAGAGAGATAAATCAATACCCAATTCTTGAGCAACATTCTAAATAGGTTGCTTTACTGCTCAATAATAGTTCTGCTGAAATTTAAGCCTTTTACAAAATGGCTTTATAAAAATAGCTTTATAACTTTGGACAAATGATGACTTCTTTGAAGTAAAGTTTTCTGATTTGTAAAACTGAGAAAATAATGTTCACCTTTAGTCAGACTCATGTAGATTCTTAGATTTATACACATATTTCACTAAAGATCTAATCCAGCCTTTTCTACCTTTCTTCTTCATGTCCTTCCTCATAATTAAAAGAACACAGGATATATTATTATCTTGTCTTTCTTTTTTTTGAAGTTTAGAAACCTAGTAACATTGATAGGCAACAGGGCATTGTATTAAGCCAGTAGTTCTCAACCTTCCTAATGCTGCAACCCTTTAATACAGTTCCTGTGGGTTGTGACCAACAGGTTGAGAACTGCTGTGTTAAGCAGAGACGTTCTAGGGCCAAATTGCTTGAGTTTGATTCGCAATTTTGCCAGTTACTAGCTATGTGACCCTAATCTCTCTATTCCATTTGTGTCCTCATCTGTAAAATGGAGATAACAATACCTACACAAGCTGCTCTCAGGATTAATGAGTTAATATACACAGAACATTTAGAATTGTGCCTGGCACACAGTATGCAATAAACAGTAGCCATTATTATTTAAATTAGCATAATCACTTAATTATTTTTAGAACTAAGTTATACATTGTGAATATAGATTTTTTTATATCAAGATGATGGCAAAATTGGGGCAGCGCTTGGGGCTCAGTGGGTAGGGCGCTGGCCCCATATAATGAGGATGGTGGATTCAAACCTGGCACCAGGCAAACTGCAACAAAAAAATAGCCAGACATTCTGGTGGGCGCCGGTAGTCCCAGCTACTTGGGAGGCTGAGGCAAGAGAATCGCTTAAGCCCAAGAGTTTGAGGTTGCTGTGAGCTGTGACGCCATGGTAGTCTACTGAGGGCAATAAAGTGAGACTCTGTTTCTACAAAATAAATAAATAAATAAATAAATAAATGATGGCAAATGGCAAAATAAAGGTTTTTACACAGTTGCACAAACTGGCAGCCACATTCTGAAACTGATAGAGGAAAGAAACAAAAGACTAGTCATAATAATTCATTTACAATGAGCTCTTTCATTCAATATATTTTATCTCAAGAAGCAAGTATATAACTAAGACTTTTCATACTATATCATGCTTTATGAAAATCACCACAGAATGTTTAGCTAGTAATACCTAAAATATTTTAGGTATGACCTAAAGAGACAACATATCTAAAATACTGATAGACAAGGTAAAATACTGGTCTGTTTGCATTTAGTATTCCACAGATACAATTTAAAATACTGGTCTATTTACTTAGACAAAAGCACTGATTTGTCTATCATAGGTGCATAAAACAAATACATTACAAAGAAAACACTGAGAAAGCCCAGAAAGGAAGTAAATGATATTGTCTTATTCTTTTTACATTACATAGAACTTACTATTGCCATTCACAACTGCTTAGAATTCTATAGTTCTGAGTTCTGTAAATCTCTCAAAATATTCACGTATAGTCTTGATTCTTCCTATTTAATGGACACTAATCCTTAAAGAAATACTTATCTAAATGTAATAATAGTTTTTATAATTGGGATTATTCTCATCTACATATATAGAATAGATTTATTCTCCTTAATGTATGAGGCAAAAAGTTTCTGCTTAAATTTAGCTAAATCTCCCTCATTCTAGCTACTTCTTTATGTCATGTATATTTGATCTTAATGAAATAATTTTGAATCCATCTAAAAGTTTCTTTTTGTTTCCCTCTATTTTCATTTGTTTCTCTTTCTCTTCTCTCTCTCTCTCTCAAACACACACATTTTAACCAACCAATAAACACAGTGAAGGCAGAAAAAGTCTTTCTATTGCCCTTCTATTAGTAGACTAAAGATAGCATTAAGTAATGCCTATTGATTACATTTGCTAAAATACTTTACATTCTTAAATAATGATCATATGTAACATCTCTTGAATCCATACTATATGCTAAGC